ATAAAATTAGGGAAGATAGGCACAGGCTGTAAGAAGAAGTGATATTGTAATATGGACAGGAGTCTGAGCCAAAAAGAGTTAATCAGTTTGTCAGTGCTGGAACAGACTGGAACAAAACAGGGAATTGGAACCTCAGTTTGCTGTCTTTCAGGCTGATCCTCTACCATCTAATATATTCCTCTTGGTTAGATTAGTCTGGCACTAGAAGTTTTTCAAAAATATGTTCTAAAAGTCCACATTAAAGAGCTCTAATCTCTCTTGTGATTGTTGGGGCACTGTCCTGTCTGCATATCATTCATCCATCAGCTGGTAATTTTGCCTGTGAGGTACTACACTGCTTTCTTCCTCATGACCCAAGCTTGTCCTTTCACATTGCTTTTTACTCACATTTGAGAGAAGACTTTCTAAAAGTACCTCTAGGTTTTCTATGGTAATACTGACCACTGGTTTGTTATTTTCTTTAAATGACTTGTTCTCTGTAAAAGCAAATTAATCAATAGGAAAGTATTTTAGAGAAAATTGTTAACATAGGCTTTTATTAAACAGAGTTCAAATAATCTTTTGTATTTTCTACAGTGTTTCTGGAGCTTGGTGAACCAAACTCTAAAGAATATCTTTGAAAGGCCAAGTAGTTCAGAAAGGATGTCCAATTTTGAAGCAGTTCAATGTAAAGACCCATTGAGTTTTAGCTGGTGGATTGTTAGTCATCTGGCATCACTCTACCAGTTTGACCGTAATGGAAATCTAGATGAAAAGGTGGGTATACTTTTTTCTAAATATCAAAGAGTTATTATAATAGATTTTGATCTCTTTGGTTATTTTTATTGATAGAAAAAAAAATAATGTTGTAATACAGGAATATTCGTACTGCTTGAAAGAAATCCTTTAAGGTTGATGGTGTTAAGATGTGCTTTGTACAAGTCAGTAAACATTCTAGAAGCCTCTGACATGTTCACATTATATACCAGATATTCAGCAGATTACTGTATTAAGGAAACTTGAATATCCCAACTACTTAGTGGCACATATACCTAATGATGTAGCATATGTTTTAAAACTGTCTGCCTGCAGCATAAATGCTTGACTGGGTTTGTTGTTTTAGGAACTGAACACATTAGTTTGTACTGTATGAAATATAAATCTCAAACATTTACTGTGTAATTAATAAAGCTCCTTTTTTTCTTTAAAGTGATAGCCCTGCTCTGGATAAATTTCAGTCTGTCTAATTTCATTCCCTCTGTATCAGCAATGGTACGATAAGATGCTGTCACGTGAAATGGGGAGATTTCCTTGACCCTTAGTGTTTGATTTGTCTGTTGGTGCCCCAGGAAAACCAAGACCCTTGTGCCTGACCAGTGTGTCAGCATGCTGTTATGGGGTGACTTCACCAAACACTCCTGCTGGATTGGAGGGCAATTCCCCTGACTTGTTCAGGGAAATACACCAACAAGTCTTCCCACTTTATGACCCCTCAGCGGATCTTCCACTTTATTCAAGTGTGTTACCTGCTGCCAGTGGCTGTCAAGACCCTCAAAAGACTCACAGTAACAGTTTATGGAAGAAGACTCTTATTAATAGGAAATTGTGACAGGTTAAGGTTCAAAGATTGCCAATGATAGTATCTGACTGCAAAAACGTATTCAGAGCAATACATAGACAAGCTCTATTCCCAATAAAAATATTCAGTGTGCACTGAGTGGCTCTTACCCCATAGGCATCCCTATGGGGGGGAGAAGACAGATTCAGCCTTTTGACTGATCCCAGCAGTTATGATGAAGCCTTCCCTAACTTTTTGTCCATTCTTGACTTACTTCTAAAGTATTTCTTTATGTTTACATGGAGCTTGAGTGACTTTAGTCATAAATACCTTTGTTACTTCTTGGTGTAAAGTTCCCCACTTAACTTTTGATACAGGTTCTATGTGGTTTATCAGCTGCAAAGTGCTGTCTAGTTCCCCTCCCTGGAAGGATTTCCACAGAGCCTGGCTGTGATATCTTCACTCCGCTCCATCCTCCTTTCCAGTTGCTTATTGTTGTATGGGGAATCATTGTGGAGCTGCCAGCGTTTCATCCAGGGACTAGCAGCTGTATTTTACCCTGTACCATTAAAATTTCTGTTAGTGTGTGAATATAACTTCTCTGTTTCCTCTAATTTTATCTTTCCATAGATGCATATATATTTGTGTATAGAGTTTAATTTTTATGTTGGTGTGCTACCAATAGACACTGGCTAATAATTGACACTGAACTCTTTCAATTATTGAATTCTAATAATTGAACTGAATCCAGACTTCAGTTTAGGAAATTCTGGCAGTAAGTTGCAAGTAAGATTTTCCTACTGGCTAGAGCAGGGTAATCCTCAATTAATCAGTTCTTGTGTCTTGGCCTCATTGTGAGGGATTTGACATGACCATGCATTCTGTAAGGGGCCTAGATGAGACTTGCATATCCCATTCCTAAACCTGCAAGATATATATAAATTCATACTTGGTACTGATGAATCAAATTCCTCCATGGACCTCACTGCTGTTCTCTGCAGTTCAGAGGTCATGTAAACCCTGACCCCTCTTTTAGCCTCTTACTCTGAGATTCATACTGGATAGTTTTAAGTCTCTAATCATTTATTGGGAAGGAAAATAGGCACTTAGTGAGGCAATTAATTGTATGAAAGCTGCCAATTTTTTTTTGTTGACTCTAGAGGAAGCTATAAAAATAGGGAAGGTGTGGTACTTCAGTGCTTGAATACTTAGTTGAAAAACTCATGACCATTTCTGGTCACTAGAGGACTTGATGCACCTGGAATGCTTATGCTTCTGCTGCTTCCCAGCTGACAGGTTCTTTCGGATCATGTGGAAAAATGTAGCAACTCCTTACAAATTCATACAGTGTGAAGTTGCAGACCAGCTGTGGTTCTTACACTGAAGGTTGTCTCAAGCTGTGCTTTTGCCCTGTTACTGTGTGGATGGGAGAGGACCACAGTCCATAGTGTGTTTCAGAGGAGCATTGGAAGATAACATTACTATACTCCCTGCTTATTAAGGAACTTAGATAGAGAGAAAAGGTTATTCTCAGGCTGAATACAGAAATCAGTGTGGAACAGGCACTTATATTGGGGGTTTTATATTTAATGCCTTAATCCAAATGCAGTGATACTGTTTACTTTGATCACTGGAGTTTTTTTTCCTGTATCTCAGAGTGATAGATTATGTATTTAGCCTCGTGAGATTTTTTTTTTTTTTTTGCTCCAGGCACTGTATTATTTACATAAACCAAACAAGATGTAGAATGGACAGAAGGATTCCTGTTGTTTTTATTTTAAAGTAAGAATCTGAGACACAGTGTCAGGAAGTGACTTGCACAAGATTCAATAATATTTTTTTCCTTAGAGCCCACCTTGGAGAACAGAATTTCCAAGTCTTGATTTGTAAATCATGACACCATTCTGTGCACACTCTTCTTGATGTTTCCAGCTTTGCACTTCTGAGTGTGGCTGCAAGTTTGTCCAGGGATCCCTCTTCTTGTACAAAAAAATCTCTCAGTAACATCAGTGCATTTTCACTCACCACAATAATATAATCTGTCATAGATAGTTGATGGTAATAATTTTTTTAGGTCCTGTCCCCTTCCCAAATTGCAACCTCAACTATTCTTCAAACATTATAAGGTAAAATAGTGATATAAATTTCTAAAGTCAATGGAATTACATCAGGGCTCAATGTAGTCCTGTTTTGTTGGTTAAACATCTGATGCGATAGCTTTGTGACACATGCTTTCTTTTAATTAACTGTGATCAGAGGTGGGAGGGTGATGTGTCATAATGATGGTTATTCCTGTGCTCTGTAGCAAAAATTGCCTCTAAGGCTATGTCATCTGTGGAAGATTTTCAATTTTTTAATGTGGTCTGCATGGCCTTGAGGTTGTTATGAAAGCTTTTAAAATTCTAAGTAGGTTTCAGACTTGCTTCTTTCTATTTTTTCCCCTTTAGCTCATATAACACAATTTCAAATATGCAATGATTCATATATATTGAATGCATATTTCACATACATGAAACCACTTTCTTCTACTAGAAAATTTTGGCCAGGTTTCTTAGAGACTCTGTTCTGAGGGATGTACAGTACATGCCTCTTTCCATATCCCCCCATTCAGGTCCCACTTCACTCTTCTGAAAAGCAGGATTTGTACATTTAAAACCCAAATGGGACCTGATGAGAAAAATTGCTGCTTCTGAACATTGCAGGGGTCAATTTCAATATCCTGTGGGCTAGGGTAATATAGGCAGAGTTACCTGGGGCTAAGAATTCTTGCCTTTGAATAGAATAATCTGAAATGACTAAATGGCAAGATAAGCAAACATGGAACTTCCAGCTGAGAAGCCTAATATGGCTTTTCCAGGTAGTCAGCTTAGGTAGTGCTTTCAAAAGTTTCATCCTGCATATCCTGGGGGTTTCACCTCAAGTTTTTGGTTTTAGCAGCACTTTCATGCACCCTGAGGTCTCCAGCTTCTGTTGACTTTTAGGACTCTCTGGGGTTGGAGGGAGAATGTTTTAAGCCACGAGGTTTGCAGTAAAAAATGTAGGTTCTTTATTTTTTGACAAGAATGGATTGTAAACAGTTGTTGTGCCATATTTCCGGTGCAGTAGGGAATACTGTTAGGATGTAAACCTTTTGGGGGGAGCCCCCGGTGGTCCAGGGGAAAATACACTGCACTGTCACTGCAGAGACCCGGGTTCGATTCCCGGTCGGGGCCCCTCCCCGGGCAGATGGAGCTCGTTAGCCCATAAGGCAATCCATCTACGTCCTGAGGACCTCGCTGCCACCGTCCAAGCTCCCTTGGCCCCGGCAGATGAACCTCAGGATTA